ATACGCTCTGTGTGCTCCGGCTGCTTCTGGAGCTGGTTCTGCTAGAGGCCCTGCTTGGGGCCCTGCTAGATTCGCTGTAGCTTATCTGTCCCAGATCTATGGGTATATCTAGGGTCCTAGGGCCCCCTCGATATATCGGTGTTGGTGATGGTGGTGACGGTGGTGGTGGTATCCCGCTCGGGGGTGCCCATCTCGACGCGTTCGGTAGACCACCACCATGGGGGTTTGGGGCCTCCATAGCGGTTCCTGAGGCCTCAGGGGGCCTTTCTCGATCGATTGACGCGTTAAAATGACGTGTTTAGATTGGGTGTTGATTTTGATGTTCCCCCGAATTGATTTTGCTGGCTTAGGATTGTTTGGAAAATATATAATAACTACTATTAAGAGACAAGATCTGTACAGATATATACTAGTATCTATATCGATATAGTAATCTATATCTTATCTCTACTCCTAGACAATATCTGTATTCACTACTTTATAATATAAGTAAAGAAAATTCTATAGACTAAGTAAGCCGAGAAAGAAAACCCTCCTACAATATTTAATATAGTAGTAAAGAAGTTTATCTAGTATAAACAGGATAAGATTATATCTAGCTATATCCACTGCCCTAACTAAAATAGTAGTAGAGCGATAGAGATCGATAATTAATAAACAGAGCCAATAGACTTAAATACTATATATAGAATAGACAATCGATACTCTACTAAATAGAATAATAAGAGATCTAACTGTAGCAGCGGCTCTAGAGAGATATTAAAGTACTTTTATTACCTTGTACCATCCGAACAACAGCATATATACCTACATGTTTCCCTGTAATAGATGAGGTCTCCTCAGATATTTATCCCGATAACGGTCCTGTATTCACAGAAATTCTTAACTGTCATCCAGAACTGTCATTGAAGTTATTCTCGACTACAACCAAGGATGGCTACTGAACATTTATTCTTTGTGAAGCTGAAACCCACACCGCAGGGTAGTCCGGATTTTGAGACCACCCGAGCTGCCTTGTTACAATCTTTCATGGATAAAATCCCTTCTGAATACCGTTTATCTCAAAAGCTACTTGCCAACCCTCCAAACGATGTCTCTGGTATCCCTGCCAGCTGCGGAATACTTTCTGCTGAAGAAAGAGAGATTACGGAGACTTACGATGCCGTCGGCCTAGCGGAGGCTATCGCCAATCGCAAGTTTACTGCACTGGCGGTGGTCATGGCTTATTTAAAAAGATCTATTATTGCACACCAGCTTACCTGTTGCTTGACTCAGTGGCTTGCGGATGATGCTATCGAACAAGCCAAGCGGCTGGACAATTATATGGTTGAGAATGGAAAAACAATTGGCCCGCTTCATGGAGTGCCAATCAGCATTAAAGACCACATTCCAATCGCTGGGACATTTTCATCACAGGGTTGCTTAAGCAGTATGGTTAAAGATGATGAAGACTGTCAGATGGTCGCAATCCTGCGAAGAATGGGTGCGGTGTTTTACTGCAAGACAAACCAGCCACAGACCCTGATGCATCTAGAAAGTGATTCCCATTGGGGTCGAGTACTTAACCCATTCAACATCCGACTTTCGGCTGGTGGTTCAACGGGGGGGAAGCTGCTCTAATAGCCATGAGGGGCTCTGTTCTGGGGATTGGCACTGATATTGGTGGGAGTATTCGTGCTCCATCAGCATTCTGTGGAATTTATGGCTTCAAGCCGACGTCTTGCGTGCTGCCTATGGAGGGATTTCTTAAAACTCCTTTTGCAGCAGAGTTGAATGTCTTGTGTTCAACAGGGCCAATGTGTCTTAGCATGAGAGATATGGACATGTTCATGGGTCTGATGTCTGACACGAAGCCATACCTAACGGACCCAAGTCTTGTTCCAATACCTTGGACCGGCTTACAAACGTCCTTCGGGAGGCGTCTTAAAGTCGGCATCATCAGGAATGATGGCTTCATTGAGCCTCAGCCACCCGTGAAAAGAGCAGTCTCATGGGTGCATGACTTACTGGCGGATTCTAAATATTCAAGTAAAGTTGAGGTCAAGTATTTCAAACCGCTCGGTGCAGCAGACGCTTGGAGGAAAATACAACGCTTCTATTGGCCTGACGGTGGCTCCCTTACCAAGTCGTCAATCTTGGCTTCTGGAGAACCGCTGCACCCACTAAGTGAATGGACCTGGAAGGATGCCGAGCCTGCTGGAATGCAGACAGCAGAAACTCTTATCCACTATAGAAGAACTAGGGATGACTTTCGGTGCGCCTTTGCACAAGATTGGCAAAAGCAAGACGTTGATGTGGTGATTGGGCCGGCATTTGTTGGTCCAGCCTGTGCTCATGATACAGCTTTTTATTGGACTTACACCTCACTCTACAACCTCGTCGATTATCCGGCTGTAGTTATTCCGACACAGTTGAGGGTACAGCCTGGGGAGCAATATGGGTTTTCATATGTTCCACTGAGTGAAAGTTGCCAACATGTGAAGCAACTGTGGGAGAGCTCAGAATTCGAGGCAGCTCCCCTTGCCCTTCAGGTTGTGGGCCGTAGGTACCACGACAGTGAACTTTTTGGTGCACTGGCGATTTTGAAGGATATTTTAGGCTTGCGTTGAACGGACATAAGACTGTAAATAGATCTACCCATGAAGTTGATCTACTATAGCCAGGAAATACATACCAAGTTAAGGAATATTCGTTACAGTCCAGCAAATTTCGTTGTCAATTATAACGAATTTCTTTCTGAGAGATCATGTGAATTAACATATGTACATGGCACAAGCAAATTTTAAATCAGTCAACAGAAATAAGAATGTAAATTTCAGCCATACCTATTGAAGTTGGGAAGCTGAAGGTAGCCCGGTCGGCACAGCAAGTCGGGGCACAGGAAAGAGCAAGAGAGAGAGGTGTAGGCTGAAGCAAAAAACAGCCCCAGCAGCGAAACTACCGTGGATGGAATCGCACGGTTGGTAAACAGTATACCAACAGTGTATATGCTGGTTGAGTTGAAGAATTGAACAAAGAAACACTTCATTGAGAAAAACAGGCCCCTGCCAATTCACTTGCTGTCGTAGGTTCTATATCTCTTCACTTTCCCACTTTCCCACTTTCCCGATCCAAAGCATAAAATTTCCGCTGAAATCCATCAAAACAAACCTGACAAACAGACAGCCAAATAGAGAGACAACCAAGCTAAGTGGTGTCACTGGATCCACCATTACACTATACATTTGACATTGATTGCATCAACTATTCAGATACACGGTAACACAACATTCTCCTTGAAATTTCCATGCTAGAGCTCGCGACCCATAAAAACTGTACCAACAATCGGAGTATTATAGTATGGTGGGATCTCTGTAAACCCGTACTTGCGATAAAGATTCTGTGCCGCTCTCATCTCGGGCAGTGAATCAAGACGAATGCCCCGATACCCCAATTCTTTCGCCTTTGACATGATCGCTTCCACGAGTCTGCTACCAAGTTTTGTTCCGCGCGCTTCCTCGGCCACATAAAGGCGCTTCATTTCACACCAGCCATCTAAATCGCGGCGGAGGGCGACACATCCAAGGGCAGTGAGACTTCTGTCACCTATTGGTCGCGCTAATAAGAGCACGCCGCCTTGAGGTTCGGCGTATTTTCCAGGTAGAGAATCGAGCTCTTTTTGGAATTTCTGAAACTTCAGGTCGATACTGAGCGAGGCAGCATATCGGGAAAACAAAGATTGTATTGCGTTCTCGTCACGGGGAAATGTCGCTGGCTCTATGAGGATCTCCATAACCAATGATGAAAGAGACATGAGAATAAGTGGTGTGAAGAACGTAGATCCAAAACGTAGATTCGGTAACAAAGTATAAACAGGAGACTCGCTCGATGTTTTGCGGCTGACAGATAATTTGTACCTGTAACTGGGTGGCAATATAACTTTCCGACGTTACCAATGCATGAAGGCAAAAGGCTGGTTAAAACAAATTTTTATTGCAGACTGATTGGTACTTGATCCGACAGTAAGCGGGACTTTCCTTTGAGCCAATAGATGGAACCAGCTCCGGCCATTTTACCCGACGCCGACCCGCCACAACCGGTATCGGCATCTGTTTGATCAGTATATATTTAGATTGAATGGTTCGCACTCAAGGTACAGTAGAATGTCGACAAGCACTTGCATTTCCGAACTCTATTCAAGCATACTCTAACCTTCTGACAAAATGAATTTCTGGTCCCTGATCAATGCTCTGGGTCTTCTATCTACTCTCGATGCTCACTGCTTGACAACTACTGCAATTGTTGAGGACGAGAATGGAATTGCTAGCCTGGAATGCTGGAAATTCACTCAGCCACTTCAAAAATATCCAACAATAGGCATGTCCTTGCCCTTGGCCAATGTTTCAAATGTAACCTATGTTGCCTTGCCGCCGCGCTCAGGAGAGGGTATTCACAATCCTCCACACCCGATGTCGGTACAAACTTGCGTTAACCGTATTTGCAAAAAAATTAATAGATTTACAGGCTTTTTGTTCTTCTCTCTGGGCTGGCACATATCACTCTTCCTAATGGGGCTGATGAAGCATGGGTTATGGAAGGAGTAAATGGGTTATTAGTCGCTGCCGATACCGTTGGGGAAGGACACTATACCGACTACCCATCTGACAAAACCACAGTTGCCTTGCAGATACCATTTGAAAATGGTATCATCCCGCCGCACAAAATTGTTCATCTGGGAGCGTGCAAGTCACCAAATCAGATAATATCTAATGATCCTGGGGTTGAATTATCGTTTGCCAGACTACAATATGAGTTATGAGTCTCTAGCGACTCGCTTGACCGGTTGAAATTGGGCATATTTGTTATTCACTATTAAGCTACCAACTAGCGTGAATGGATTCAATTTCACTAACCAGTTCGTTCCAAGCCCTTGCTCGGCAAATGAGCGTTTATGCCAGCATCCGCCTCAAATTCATTCAAACGGAGAGGTGGTCGTACATTAGGCTATTTTATTAACGCCCAGTAACGACAGTTTTGTGATGGATGGTATCATAATCATGAAATTACAAGGGTTGATAGTCATGCTATCTTCTAATTCATCTTTCTATCTCTCCATGATCCTTAACCACTCTCACCGATCTGGGAACAGCCCGACGCACTAAGCTGGCATCGCTTCTCACCGCCTCATTCCTACATCCTCACTTGCTTACGAGCGAGTTGCACCAAATAAGTGCCTGGAGCAATTTAGAAACTCCACCTCACTTCTCTTTCATATTGTATAAGCTGGAAGTTGTCTCCGCATTTTAAGTCGATGGACGCAGGGTTCAATCTAAGTTTGGGACATCTGAGCCCAGTTTAGATCTTTCTTGCTATAAATTAAATTTCACGGCCACGCTCGTTGGATTGTCAACTATGCCGTTCTCCAAATCAATTTAGTGTGTTATGGTTAGTACCCATAGTTAAGAATGCCAAGACGGAAACGGTCCGGGCAAGCCGATCGCCACTTTCATGAGCACGGCCCAGCCAACCAATTGTTGAAGGTATCGCCGATCTCGGAGGAGCTCGGCTTCTGGCCGAACAACGGTTGACAGAAAGGAAGAGCCTCCGAACAGTCAAATCCTCAGCATGGAAATCCTCAGCATGGAGATCTTTGATTAGCTGGGTAATTCTGGGCCCATGGTGAAGTAAAGAGCGGTTATTAGCGGATATGTTATCTTCTTAGTCTGGCTTTGAGCATATTCCAAGCTCCGGAGAATTAAAAAAATTCTTTCCTTATGATCATTTTCAAATTCTATTCCTATCCAGAGACATCCTTCTCCCCAAAGAATAAATCTTTGTATCGTCATGCGAGTTGGTTTCCTTGGCCTGGGTGTTATGGGCACGCCTATGGCTCGCAACCTATCGCGCAAGTTCCCTCTTATCGTCTGGAATCGGAGCGCTGCTAAATACTCGGCATTGAAAGAGGAAGGGGTCACGATTGGAGAATCACCCACCAGTGTGGTCAAGCAGTCAGACATCATCTTCATTATGCTTTTCGATGCATGGGCGATCAAATCGATACTAAGTGACGACTTCAAGCGAGCGCTGCGAGGGAAGACATTGATCAATACCAGCTCGGTATCTGTTGAGTTCAGCATGTCCCTTGCTGAGCAAATTCATCAAGGCGGCGGTGACTTTATCGAGATGCCTGTCAGCGGCAGCAAGGTTCCCGCTGAGAAGGCTCAGCTTGTCGGGATGATGGCGGGAGACGCCGCAGTCGCTCAGCGTATCAAGCAAGTCGTTGAACCTATCACTCGAGCTGCCATATTCTGCGGCCCCATCGGTTCCGGCCTGAAAGCTAAATATGCCGTTAACACCCTTCTGGTTACCTATACCGTCGGTTTGGCGGAATCTATGAACCTCGCCCGGGCACAGGGTATCGATCTCGCCGCATTTGCAGAAGTTCTTGACGCTTGTCCCATGGCATCTGCGTATTCAAAGATCAAGGTTCAAAAGATTTTGAACGAGGATTGGTCCCCCCAGGCAACTCTTAAGGATTGCTACAACAGTACGCAACTCATTCAAAATGCTGTGAAGCTGGCGAATACTAGGTCGCCAAGTATGGCGATTTGTGATAAGCTGTATCAGACGGCAGTGGACGCAGGTCTCAGCGAAGAAGATATGATTTCAATTGCAAAAGTGATTGAAACATCGCAGATTTAGAGACATGAAAATGTCTCACCTATCTCGTTGAGAAATCAGAGCGTCATGTTATTGTACTCTTATTGTTCCCCTTTTAACTGTAGTTAGACCTTTCATTTCTTTTATCAACAATAACAGTATGGAAAGCCTTCCATTGGATCATATTGTCATCTCCAATAGCAATCTCCGAGTCACTCGGTGAGGAAACGTGAAACCGAACAGAACTATTCCGGAAAGAGCGCCACCATGGTCTAAGTCTCATTTAGTAACAATTCCAGGAGACTTTGGATGTGGTGGAGTGATAATTTATACCTTTTCGAATTTCGGTTCAACAAACAAGGCAGTGGCTTCCGCCACTAAAATGCCTTCATTTTCCTCCTCTTCGCTCACTTCATCACTCACTGCCGCTCTTCGGTTTAACATCTCATCTGCAGTGAATGGATTCATGCATCGCATCTGACCGGTCAACCACGCCTTTCGCCCCTCTGTCATGACTGTTTCCGCGCGATACAAGTAAACTCGATCCGGGATGGCTGGCTTGCGAAAATCAATGTTCATGTTTGCTGTCATCGCCACGCCGCTATCAAATAGTGTCGACGCGCACCGTGCGAACAAATCATCAAATAGTAAAAATGGAACCCCGCCATGGACATATCCGGCGTGCCCACAAAGTTGAGGTCCCACATAACATGTAGCAATTACTCGGTGATGTTGGTGTGTGCTAATGAAGAAGTGCGGATCAACCGCAAGTTTCTCCGGGCACAAAAATGAGTTCACAACAAGGTGGGTGGAGCGCGCAGCGGAATGCATCGTCTGATATGGACGGGTCTCTTTGTACTGGTTAAGGGCTTGAGATGACGATTTCGTTGCAACAGAACGGAGATACCGAACTAATGGAAGTGAAGATATCATGTCCTCGATGCGGGATCGCGCCTGATCCGCTGCTTCCTGCTGCTTGTAGCATTGTAGAGTTGGAGTAGATATGCTACAGTTGCAAAACTCAACCGTAGCATCGGACAGGGCCATTCTGATGAGTGGTTTTGGGGGCAATTGACAGTTTGCGGCGTTTGATTCTTCGCAATTGGATGTCATGGATACTTTCCTAGTTCCAAATTCCGTAGTGTGCAGAGATTTCCGAAGTTGTAGCAACCGGGAGGGTAGATTGGAAAAGACTTTAGCCTTCGATGACCGTGGACTTTGGCCATTAACCCTGGAGTAAAACGATTCAATCCGCCGGAGGCAGATTCTTGACAACATAATTAGCGGCTGTGCCAATATAATTCGACAACTTGACAAGCAAACACCACTTCGGAGCCAGTGAAAAAACCCAAAAGGACTTCTTCAAAATACTTGATTCAAATCCTGTAGAGGCTTCACAATTAGGACCCGTCTTTTCAGCCACTTCTCACTAACCACCAAGCATAAGCAGGCTCAGCGGACTAAATCGCCACTCAAGAAAAAAATGATATTTGGTTAGAGTCACAGTGACAGTCTGTAGGATCTGAAAATGCTGTGAATTGCATCTCGTCTGGTGACGGAAGGCGCAACAAGAGTACCATTCACTGTTGATGGTTTTGGCCACAATTGCCAAGACGGGTGCGGCCCGGGATTCAACCTGGAACGGCTAACGTGGTATTGCGCTCGGACCGTGGCCGTCTTGGCAAAATATTCCACGAGTCTTGACTGGGCGCTTTCTTCTTGACACTTATGATAATTCAATTATCCCGAGAAAGAAAATGTGTTGAAGAATCCTCTGGCAGCCAAATTTTGCACAAGGTGTCGCAGGAAGTTTTAGCCCTATTCTCAACAAAATCTGCTTTTTTAGGCCAAGCGTGGTCGGTTCATTTTGCGTAATGTTATCATATATTGTAATTGAGCACTAGACCTGCTGAAGGCGAGGGACGTCACGTCACAATCGACCCTCCATTCGTCATCACCTTGACGGAACACCCGTATCGAATTGGAACCTTCAGTATAATTATACATATATTTCCTTACCGGAAACTTGTTTGTACATTGAAGGCTCTCAGATATGCTCACATGATCAATTAATGATGTACAACATTAATACCTTCTCCACTAGCCAAAACCCGCCTTCGACTTGGGCTTCAACCACAACTGGTGAGTACCAAACTTTCAGAAATAATAAATAAGGCCCTCCAGAGTAC